ATAAAAACTGCTACGGAAAGCAGAGTGCAAAATAAAGCGATTCATTTTTTGTTGTTGTTGCGTATGTGGCAGTGTAACTGTTTTGTTGTTCTCGTTCCACCATCATATAAACACATCAAAAATACTATCTCGCTGATATCGTCATATTCACAGTTAAAGCCATTCTCTCATACTCTCTTTCTCTCGCACTCACACTCACACTCTTCGGTGAGCATTCGAGCGTTTCAACAGATGTTTTGTTGATAAATCGTATGGAGAGAAAGAGGCAGCGGCATGAACATTCGTCATTTCTTTTCAACTATGGAACGTGATACATTTCATTTGAAACGATTTTATTTCAAGGAATCAAGCGTTGACTACTTTTGATACGTACGTATAGCAAAATTGTGTGTCTGGGAAGCGATGTTGCGGTCTCTTGTTGAGACTCGTTGCCATCGTCGCCACCATCGTCGTCGTCACAAAAAGTATAAAGGATTTGCAGCAATGGTTGGTATAAGTGTGGGGGCGTCAAAAGTCAAGTGAGACAATGACTGACCTTGAACACATTTGAATTTTTGCGCCCATCAAAATGAGCACGTTCTAAATATAAAACGACCAGTCGTTATCTCACTTATTTGCCGTTATTTATAAAATGGTGCGGTGATTGTCGGTTGAAAATCGATCCATAAACTGACAGATGGTGGTGTGTTACTGATACATTTGAGCGGTGTATTTTGCTTTGCATCGTTTTTTTTTCGTGCTGCTGCTGCTGCTGCTGCTACTATTTGCCGTTACTGCTCTTTTGATATTCAACTAGGTAAACCACATCGAATTAAACGCAATTAAATCCAAACAAATCGGCTAGATTTTTTTCCCAGTGGTTTGTCGCGTGTTGCTTTTTTTCACTCGAGATTACAACTTTTAACTAACGCTTGGGAAAAACCATTTTCAAATTGGCCACGGAGTTAGCGCACATATTCAAATGAGTTTGCAAAAAGCTGTGTGGAATGTTGATGGTGCGGTGTTTGTTGTTTGCTTGTGTTTTTTTTGTTCTCCTTCTCTGTGCTCAATTGTTTGATCGAACCATTCTTTCGAAACTTTAATTTACGTTGTGTAGTAAAAGTCCATCGATTTTTCTCGTTAACAATTCGAATAATTTACGGGCCTTTCAGGCAGACAAGAAACACACACACACACACACACAAACGCTATGAAATGTGTGCCCGTCAACTTTTAACGCGAAACACGCGTGCTGTACAGATTCTGGCTTGAAAACCGTTTGTTTCGATCTTGTAATTGCGTGAATCGATGAAATTGAAGAATCGGACCCGAACACTTCATAGGAAATGTTATGTGCACGAATTTGTGTGCATTTCAGCGAGTAACAATTGATGGAATTAAAAAAGATGAAACAACATAAAAAAAAAGTACACGAAAAACCAAAATCGACCACAAAACAACGATTGAGAAAGAGCGCAGGGCTCAATGCTTTTGCTATTGCACGCGCAAAAGTAACCATGTGCAAAATAACAATGAGGCATAGAAGCGGGCCGGGATCGACGTACATCGTGTACCAATCATCAAACATACGGAGAGAGAGAGAGAGAGAGAATGAAGCAACGAAGTCGGGTCGTTATTTCGATATAAAATTCTATACAATCCGGTATTTTTGGTGGCACATAAAACGCACCAAAATTGTGTGTTGTGGAGAGAAAAAGAGAGCGAGAGAATGAGTGCACGAGTGTAAGAGAATCAGCCATGCAAAAAGTGGTGTGTGACATTTTGGAACGGTAGTAAATTTTCGCCTTTGTTTGATTTTTCTTGCGGATAATTCCATTTTTTATGGTGTCGTTTTTCGATTGTATACGATTTGGACTTGATGGTACAATTGGATAGCAGCGTTAAATCATTAACACAATATGTACAACCGGGGTCCCAATGGCAGCTAGTGACTTTGAGAAGTCTTTGGTTGCAATCCATTTTACACAAACGAAGAAAACACAGCGAGAAACGTACAGCGTCACACCAAATAAACAACACCAACAACAACAACAACATGAACAACAAAGAGAGGGAGAGAAAAAAATATATATGATGTAATATTGGTCGAGCGAGGGTGATAGATGTAGATAGCGCGAGCGTTACAAAAAATGCCACACACACACACACACACACAAAACTCATACACAATATACAAACACATTGAGCTTCTGGTTCAACAGTTTATGTAGTGCAAGCATAAAAAAAGCGCATTTTATTTACTTTTATACGATCGTTTTTCGCATTTACGGCTCGCACACAGCACAAGTGATTACATTTTCTTGTTTAATCAACAAAATATACGCTCTTTATTGGAGTGAAGCAGTCAACGTTCTCAACTCAATTTAGAAAAATCTGCAATGTTGTCAATTGTGCGCGAAAGAGAAAGAGAGAGTGGGTGTATGTCAGTGCCGTGCTAACACTTTAGGATGTACTGGGGCACGATTATTTTGAGTTTTTGGATTTTCACAATTTGAAATTGAATTCAAACCCATTATTTCATGATTATTAAGCTATTTTTTCTTGAAATTTAAAGGGGTTTCTGAACAACTTGAGGCCCGGCCCTTCATTCACCTCCAAGCTAATACGGCACTGAGTATGTATGTGTTTGTGTGTCGAATGTCACACAGCGCGCGAAAATGAACAATCTGCACTTGTCGCCTCGTGCTCAGTTTAAAACAACACAACTTGTTTTTTTTCGACAGTGAAAAGTGAGAGAATACGATACAAGCCATAAACAAACAACACTCAATTGGTTACTAGATGGATTGAAAACTACAGGTTAAAGCTTTTTTCCGCTCTGTCTCTCTCTCTCTCTCTCTCTCTCTCTCTCTCCCACTTTTCACCTCTCGCAATGATGAATTAATACGACGAATGAAAACTGTAAATAAAACGTAAGTGTGTTCTATCTATAAATCAAAGGAGCGCTCGAAGAAAACAATGCAACGAAACTGGGTACGCAAGAAAGAGAGAAAGATAAAATAACGATGAGTAAAAGCATAAAAACAAATCGGGTTCATTTTTGTGAGTGTGTTTGAGTGTGAGTGCTTCATCAGATTTGCGTCGATAAATTTGTACGCGGCAACACGTTTTCTCTATTTTTATTTTCATTTTCATTTACGATTCCTCCAATCTCAGAAAAACAGCAACAACTGAAATATATACTTAATGAAATGAGTGAAATTAGCTTAGATAAATATACTTGAAAGGATGCAGTTCTGGAGCGGTTTTATTGCTTCAATAAAGGTAAATCTAAATTCATTTGCTTCGCTCGTTCGTTTCACTGCTGCCCATTCGCTTGCGCTTCAGATAATTTATCTTTTTTTTTATAGTTTCAGACAGCGATCTTCTTTTTATTCTGCCCTCTTCTCCATTCATATGATGAGCAGAAAGAAATGCATCTCAGCATTATCAATCTTTTATATGAAAAAAAAATAATAACTCGTTTTTGATTCGGAGATAAATAATGCACGACGATTGGTGCATGATTCCGATGACACTTTTTTCGGTTTATAACTTGAAATTTGATGCCAAGGCGACATTTGAAAAATGGCTTGCATCCAAAATCAAATTTATTCAGCTCTTTCTCTCTCTCTCTCTCTCTCTCGCCCATTTTTTTTCTATCGTTCTTTTCATTCTTTCCATGTGCGCTGGTTGGATCGTTGAATTTTTTTGCAGCGTGGCAAAATGGAGTTTTTCTTTTGATTGTGAAAGCGCCAGATTGAAGGCCCAACGGCAATTCTCACTCGCTCTCTTGACAAATATTCTGTGAATGAATGATAGAGAGAGAGAGAGAGAGAGAGAGAGAGAGAGAGCGAACGAGAATCCATACGAAAACGACCAGCGCATGACATGGTTGAAAATTACTTGCATCAGCATTTCTTTATTGACCCGATTTTTCTTTCTTTCGCTCGCTTGCTCGCTCTCTATCTCGTCGTTTGCTGTGCAAATGTCTAATAAAATGCAATTACAGCTTGTTGTGCGCATTCATTATTATCTGTCTTTCAGTTTGTTGGCATGCATTTTTGCGTAATTCCAAATTACACTTGTATCGTACGAAAAACCTCTCTTACAATGGACCAAGGTATTTTTCACCGTCAAGCGAATGACATTTTTCACTTGGAATAATTAGAAAAATATCACTACTACCGTACCGAGAAATCATTATCAAAACTATGAGTTCTCTCTTAATCTCTCCCCATCTCGTTTCCGCTCCATCTCCCTCCTCTCATTCACGCTCGATCTCGCACTTTGTCTCACGTTTTAACGATTGTGCGAGCTGATGTTCGAAATCACAGACTGATGTCAAGTCAATCCAATATTTATGCTTATATTTTACAAGGCAAAAAATAATAAAATGAAACTATCTGCTGCCACGATTTATACACAATGTGAGTACCGTATCAGCGACAACAACAACTGAATAGTGTTGTTAAACAACCAGATAGCAAGTGCTCAATTGTCAAACCGATTCCAGGATATAGCAAGTGATTTCCCTCGCTATTGTTTCTCGTGATGTGTGTGTGTGTGTGTGTGTGTCATTCGCATTTAATTTCTCTTTCTCTTGTCGTTTCGCTTGATTGTATGCATTTTAAGCGGTGCACAATTGTGTTTTACATAAAATTATGTCTCATAAAATGTCTTGAATTGAACAGAAAATTTGAAATGGCATTTAAATTGTGTACAACATTCACGAGAACACTCCACTCGCTCTCCTACTCGCACATTCATTGTACTTTACAATGCTTTTTTGTCGCTTGTTTGTTGTTGTTTTATGGCTGTAGGCTTGTTTGCTACTTCAGAAATCCAGATATATTCATACATACACAGAAAAAAAACACACAAGAATTTTCCACATCACTTTTGTATCCTACCGTTTCGAGTTGCAAATGCTTTTGTATGTGTCATTGGGGCGGATAGTGTATTCTAGTTTTTTTTTGTGTTTGTTTATATCGTGTTCATATTGATTTTCAAGTACTTACTTAGTCGTGATAATTTGAATGCATCGGCTGTGTTGATTACATCCACATACGCCTGTAGTTCAAATCGTCGTGATGTTACATTCAAATTATGATTTAGCATTGCAAATTTAAATGCTGATTGCACTTCGTCGGTACCTTGCTCGAATATTGCGCCTGTGGAAAAGAAAACAAAGAGATGAAGAGAAAAAAACATGTTAGTCAATGGCAATGAAAATATTAAATTTTATCATTTTTACATTTAAAATGCAAACGTTTGAAATATATTTTTTTTCATTTCAATTCATCGTGCTGTTCAAAAAAAGAAAAACGCTTCAACAAAGAATGGAGAAAAATTGTAATGTGTGTGACCAATGAGTTAGTGATTTAACATTCCTCAACGGTCGTCTGTCTAAGCGAATCAAATAAACGGCTCACTTTGAAATAAGCCATAATCAGTGAGATTTGTCGGCGCAAACAGTCAAATACAAAAATAATGAGAAAAACAAAACGCAATTGAAAGGGAAATCAGAGAATATTTCAAATATTCCTATCGCCGTCTTACACAAGTCATGCAAAAAATAATGCAGCTTATTTAAATGAGACTCGCTCGCAATGGAAGTGACCACAAAGAAGACGTTTTTCTATCAAAATGAAATGGAGTTCCATGAAATTCATTCTATTTTACGTAAATTCGCTGAACTTCTGAGTACTGCTGAGAACCTTTGATTTCATACTCGCTCCGAAAAGCGTATAAATTACATGATTCCCAGAAACAAACGGATATTGGTGTGGGTATATTCATTTTTCTTGTACGTTTGTACACTTTCTTATGGGCTACATGAGGTGTTACGTTTTTATTTTTGCATATACATATTGCACTTTTTTCTTTCTCGCACTAGAAACTGCTTCAAACATCAGAGACGATTATGTATCCGAGCTCAAAGTGCCTGTATTAACATAAAATTTCATTCAGACAATGATGTATTAGCAAGAGAAAAAGTAATCATTTTTCAATTTGACAAAGTAATTTCACTGACACTGACAGAGTTGAGACTTATTGTGGCACGACTCCGTACTCCACTATGACATGAATTCGTGCTCCACTCAATTAGAGCCTTTGTCGCTTAACAAGCAATAAAATATATAGCTTTTTTGTTTATACTCATTTTTGTTAATATTAAATTTATAAGCGATCAAGAGATGTGAGGCCCGCGACATAGCATGGGAAACCATGAAAACATTTAATATCTGTATATGTGAAAGAGGAGGAAAGAAATAAGTTTCCGGACGAGTACAGTTTTGTCTCTTGGTTGGGTTTGCAATCAAGAGCTTTCTTTTGACAATGAATGAAGACAGTCAAATGAATGCACAAAGCATTTCCGTTGAGACGGAGAGCGACAACAAGGTAAAAGTAGAGTATCAGGAAGCAAACATACGTATATGGAATCAGGTTGAAAGGAAAGTTGTTCTTTTTTTTTCTTCGCTCTATTCGCTCTTGGAATGTTGTGTGCATGTGTGTCTTTCATGTGTTTTAATTCTAACAAATGGTGTTAATTTTGTTTGTGCAATGTATTGTTTGTCAGAATATGGAATTGTGTGCATTGCATTCCCGGATGCAATGAACGTGCACAAATGTCAAGTACCGATCGTTAAGAATGAATGCGAGTGGAATTGAAATATGGTCATAGGCCGCACCTTGCTCTACCGAGATTCTACTATTCACTTGAAATGCACAATCACATATCATAGCCAAGAATCGAATTTGCACCGTGCGCAGCCTTCAATGAACGTAAACAGCACCGAAAAAATAGAGAAAATATCCTCGAAATGCAATGCATTCGGTGTAAATCTGCATGCTGAGCACTTACCGTATGCTGTGCACAACAAACAAAACAAAACAAAAATACAAGAGATGAACAAAAAGGGCATCCTGCTGCGGTTTTTCTTGTGCACTAAATAAAAATATCTATGTATGTATGACTTTAAACGGTATTGTACATACGGGCATTCAAATCCAAACTGGTGTTTGCAGTACACACACACACACATACTTACATACGTAGACAAAACGGAAAGAGGAGTGAAAACAACTCATGAATTATTGTTACTTTTAAATGTGAATTATGTGCAAGGTGTTTTCAAACACAGAAAATATACGCGCGACGATGTGTTTTCTTCGAATTTTTCTCTCCTTTTTCTTTGCGTCGTATTTATTTTGTGCTATTTCTTTGCCATCGTCGTGTATTTTTTTCTCACTCTTCCCGCTCGACATTGCAAACGGTCTAATTTCGGTATGGCGTTTTCATAGTTTGAAGCCTGTGAACTTTGTCGGTGTTCTTTTGACGCTTGAATTGGAAGAAGTGAATGCTTTTAAGCAAAAGTGGATATTATTTACATACATATTCGAATGCGAAACGAAAGGACTTGCTGTTTGTTTTGCCTCCCCCCCCCCCCCTCCCACTATACAGCAATGGAATGACGACGAAGAAGAAGCAGAAGAAAATGGCAGTTATATCTTTCGTTTCGCAAATTCATGCTCCACTTTTCGTGCTGTTTCCCGTTCCCGGTTGCTGTTGTTCTGGTTGTGGCGAAAACTTTTTTCCCGCCATTGACTTTCTTTTTCGGCATCTGTTTAAATTTCAATAAGAAGATTGATGTTCCGTGCATTTTCACTGTGTATGTATACAAAATGTGGTTGAATTTTAACGCGCGTTCATATGGTGAACGGACCGAAACCCCAACACTAACATTTCTCTCCTATTCTATATTAATATAAATATATGAGTCGCGAAAGCATGTGATCAAAAACTAAATGCGAATAATTTTCGCATGTGTTTTTTTTTTTGCTTCGAAGTGAAAGCAATCCATCGATTTCCAACACAATATTCGTGCGCTTATTCACACACACATACAAAGTATCCAAAAATCCAGTCAACTCTTGCCACGGAAATGTTATTTTGTCTGCTAAATGGAAATACATTTCAGCATCACTCAAGTGTTGACGAACATTGCTCGTTTTTTACTTATAGGCAACAATATCCCGTGTTACACCGAAAGTCGATCGAATTTTTTCGTACGCGCGCACGTCACCCTCTATTTTCTCTGTGAATCCAGTGCGGAAGGGGCGGATGGCTCCGGAAAGCTTGACGCGAATGAATATGCGTGATTTGCAAGTCAACATGTCACTTAAATCCGTTTTAAAATTAATTTTTCTAATGAAATTAATCGAATCGCATTTCTCCACTTGCTCGCGTCCTTCTTCATCAATATTTTTTATGCGTTGGAATTCTTCTTTTATTCTGTATTAATAAATACAGAAGCTGCTGTTGCTGATGGATTTTCCCCGGAAAATCTCAAGATAACACAATAAAATTCATAGTGCGAAAAATCGGAAAATGGATTTTCTCTAATGGTCAGACACAACTAGATCGCAGTGTCACGCGTCTTCTGTTTTTCCTTTGTCATTCGGTTGGTCGGGCGTATTCTATCGTCTTCACACCAATGACAGACAATTGCGTCGCTTATTTGCGACATTTAAATTAATAAATTTGTTACTTGGCAAAACGGAACCGACAAACACCGGATTCAACGGCGACACAAAACAAGCGACAATATAAATTTCGATGAAAGCAACATTTCGGCTGAAGTGCGAAAGAAACGGCGACGACAACGACACAATCACTCTTTCTCTTTATGTGTCTGTTTGTGTGTCTAACTTTTGTGTGAGCGGCAAAAAGAGATGTGTCAAGACAATCGTTGGCCGTTAATATGTACATTGTACACTTGTACCATTACTTGCCGTAAATCGAGAGACAGGCTACAGCTAATGAATTTAATATATAAAATACATAACGATATCGGAATGGAAACAGCTGACATTTATATTCACTTCTCCGACGAAAATCAATTTAAAACAGAGAGACAGAGGTAGACAGAGAGAACGGGATAGTCAAATTCACTAGCCGTTGTCATTCAAATGGTGAAAACTTGGAACGAAAAACGACGTCTTAATATCCGTTTTCTGTTTTCGGTCGTTGAATCAGCGTTCAATTCAAATTACCACTCACGCTCAATATACATCATCCGACCGACCGATCGATCTTACTGCACATCGCTTTCATTAATGCAGCGGCAAAGGCAGATTGCCCGAACATGAAAGCACAATTTAAAAATAACATTCAAAAGAGTTTGCCGAACTAATTGCTTTGTTCACGACGCGATTTTGGTTTTCATTGATAGTATTTGATGAGACATTGAACATTTTCTTTTCTCCCTCTGTGCCCAGGCAAACTTTTGTGTGCTGAATAAAAGATTGAAAGAAAAGTCATTAAATTTAAATGAGAGTGACAGTTTTAAATCACAAACATTTCCTTCACGCAAGATATCTTAATGCAATAATTTATGTGGATGCCATGGCAACCGACAAGATACGAATAAGTATGTACGCCGGATCCGTGCAATACTTCTTCAATCAAAAAGATTTTTAATTAAAAATGCATGGTGACAAAAAAATATATATAGATTTTTCCTCAATAATAACGAAACGCGTCCGCACTCATTACAAAATAGTGGTATTGCAATCGATATGTAATTGACTTTGGTGGAAAATGCTTCAAGTGAAATTCAGTTTGGTACTGACGGTAAGTGAAGGGCTTTGAAAAACTGCTTAACACGGTTGACTTTCTGCTGAAAGCTCATTTATGCTACTCGAGGACAATTCATCCCGTGTCTGAGAGAAGATTCGTAAATGAGTGAGAACTCAACGCGAAGAAAAAAATAAACGGGAGGCTTGGCTCTGTGCTGCCATCCAATTTTCAGACATTTAATGTGGACCGAGTTGGGTGTATTTCATCGTTGTCGTTGTCGTCGTCGTCTGTAGCTGTCGTTTAGCTGTGCAAAACAAAAAATAATTAAAACTCGCTATGAAGTGTGACATTCGCAGTGTTGAGGTACTAAATGAAAAGTTGGTGTCACCTCTTCTAGCAGCCAACGAGGAAAATTAATAAGAAAATGCGTATAAATTTAAGTTTAAATGACGGAGGATCGGTGTGTTGAGTGTACGGAAGCTTGCAAAGCGGCTGTTGCTTTTGTAAACGTTGGTGTTTATGTGTATGTTTGTGTGAAGGGGTCCGGAGAGAGTGAGAGTGAGAGAGAGAGTGAACAAAATCTGTTTA